CAGGAAGTTTTGCATGCAAGGCTCTGTGCCTGATGTGGCTTTCAGTGATTTGTTGTGAACCCTAAAAAGCTTATAGCCTGGACCAAGCTTTTGCAAAATGATTTCAACCCAACAATTATAAATACGTCCATCACAACTTTTTGTTTACTTGTTTGTTTTGATCAAGTCAACAAATTAAACCCTTTGAGTACCAGACATTTTCCTGTCTGAATTCAGTGCAAATATTTCTACATTTTGGAAAATTTTCAGTAAATTTCATAACCATTTATGGCCATATATATAGTATCAGAAAGCATGTTTTTAATTTTTGATCAAAAAGTTTGTCAACTTTTATCATAATTTAAAATTTGGGAGAAGTAGACTACAAACTCATTTTGTAGATGACTGCAAAATTTGACAATAGCGCTCAGAAAGTTGATAAATAACCAGATTAGGTGATTTTTATTAAGGTATTTTTGAACCATACACTACTAAAAACTGTTTTAGTTTCGCAAGTGACAAACGAAAATCATGAAATTTCGTAGCAATTAATATTTCACTAGGGTCATGTACAACATGGATTGTCACAGAATTTTTTCTACACAAATTCCTAGCAAAAATTTAGCGATTACCGGTAACAGTAATCAGTCTATGCTTTTATTAAAAGTGAAAGTCTAATAGAGGAAATACGGTATAAAAAGACAATACCAATTTAACACTTACTCGGCAGGACATTTAAATTGTACAACGTTTTCTGGCATTGGTTTTGTCGGTCTCATTAGAGCCATATAGAAGTCTGTAAAAAATACCCTGTTCTGTGGATTCCCAGGTTTCCAAAACGGGTATCTGAAAAAAAAAAAAAAAAATTGGATAAGCGTATGATTCAATTGACTGCTCTTATTAGGGCGGCTGATAATTTGTTTCGTAAACTAAACCAGCAATATTGCCAGCTGATTGGCTGACAAAACAGTATGTATTGCAGACATTGTTGCTTTAGAAAGCCAGCAGATTGTTACTACATTGGGAGGCAACATTCATTGCAACATAGCAGAATGGCAGAAATAATTGATTTCGATGAATTTTAACATTAAAAATGGCGCCATTCGGCCATCTTCAAACAAATATACGTGCATATGTGCAACATGATTTATGTTATGGAAATGTGAGGAGAGCCAGAAATTCTGTTGCAGCTTTAAACAATTATCAACAGATATCTCATTAGGATGTAATTGTGGAAGCACTTAATGTAACTTAGAAGATATGAATAGATGATTTTCCGTACAATTGCGAGATCTCGCGAGATGCATGAAAAACGCGCGACGAACGTCTGCCGCAAAAATCGAACAATTTGATTTTGAACTTGAATTTCCTTATTTCGTAGCTCACACCGACCGGCCGATCTTCGACAAAGGAATATTGCTCCGAATACCCTTACTTAATAACGAAATTGCCTAAATCAAATGTAGACAGCACATTATTAAGCATGGAAATGTCCCCAAAATACTTTCGCGTTTGTCGAATCCCACGCGATGTTTGACGCCACTACGACGCTATGACCTTTGTTTGTCCTGTTTTTACGTTCGATTTCACGCATAACGCGTGATTCTCGCAGTGTACGGAAAATGGTCTATTGTATACCATAATGCAAAAAACAAACCATTCACCTGAACAAAACCATAAATGCAATTTTTGTATTATATATTACACGTTTTGAAACACCATTTATTAATGCATGCTTTTCTTTTCCCAAAATAACATGAAACCTTTGACCTTGTCTCAGTCTAATCAAGGAGGTATATGGTCTAGTGTAGTAGTTAGTGTTTGTGGATAAATATCCAGTACTACAATTTTATAATTACATTATTGTTCAAAAAAATAATAATTTTACCAAAAAAAATCATCAATGTGCCATATGGTGAAATTGACATTAATATTCATGAATATACTATGTTATTAAGTGAATGTGCAAGTTGAAGTTGATGTGAAGTTGAAAATTGTTGGAATGGGCGATGACGACGAACAATCACTCATATGATAAGTTCCGCTTGACAAAGTCAACAGCAGAGCTAAAAAAACAAACAGACTGTATGCAAGTCTAATTTATTACATAAATATCAGTAAGTATATCGATAAAGCTTGATAGGTCAATGCATGTCAGAGTATCGCTCTAGAACAAAATTTGTTAACAAAAATATAGCCGCCAATCGACCATTTTTAATCTGATCTGAAAAACAAAACGACATGCATCAAGTTACAAAGTTTTAATGAAATCCTTCCATACATGAGCTAGATCTGGTTTTGGAATGCCGGAAATGGCGGTATGCGCGAAGTTCGAATGTCATTGACCCAGACGTGTTTGAGACAGAGGTGGGACAGACGGAGGTCAATCCAGAAACCCCATTTTCGGATTTCAGAGTTTTTAAGTCTGTGATTTATTTAAAATTTCCTAATTTGAGCTTTCTTCACAAAAACTACTTGTAGGTCATTGACCACCCTCATTTATGCTAATACCCGAAGAAAGAAAATTGTCCTATTGTGCCAAACATTAGACTCAATGTTTTTGTGAACTGTATCTTTCAGCCTTGAAAAACAGCA